AAGTTTGATTCCCATCAGCCATATGGTGAATGGGTGAAATTACTTACTTACATGAAAACTTTCAATGACAACATAATGGTCCTCATAATGGATTGGTAAGCAATAGGAAAGTAGTTCTCTTCTAAAGTCCTCTGTGTTAATGGCCTTTCCAGTTTAAGCAAGTGCTGTGTAGATTATTTCCTTCTGACTAAAACGAATCTCCCATCATTTCATATTTCTGAATACTGCTTATGTTAAATTATTGTATAATTCCTGGATATTCTTCTATTTATATAAAAAAAAGTAATGAAGTAACAAGGTCAATATACATCATGGATACATCATAAAATGGACTTAAATAGTTAATTAAAAACTATTTTCACAGCATTCAGTTTGAATGCTTTCTGAAGTAAAATTTGATTTGGAAAGACAGAATGTGCAGGTTTAAATAAATTAAATAAGAACAGTCCTGCAGTTGGCACTGGATCCAAATATGTTCCTTGACATGTGATACACAGAGCTACTAAATAGTTTCAGTATTTTAATGTTTATGAGCAAATGTTCATATCAGTCTAAATGTGGCTGCTTACAATTAACTGGTTAAATTTGTGAAAAAGCAGTCTTAGTACCAAAACAGAATTATAAAATGAAATAATTTTATTTCTTATTTCAGCATTCAATATTTTATTAAATTTTGGGATTGCTATTACATATCCTACCTTGATATCTCTTGGGATTGTACTAAGTGTACCTGTAAATGCTAGTAAGTATTATTTTATTTTATACAGACATATATGTACAGGCTGATTAACACATGATATATAAATCAGGATGTGCATGATTTATATGTAAAGCAGAATACATTGTATTTAAAATAACCGGAGCTTTATTTCAGCAAATTCTCACTCTAGTTTCCCTTTTAATTTCATAGCATTAGGCTTTCATAGCATTAGCCTTTACAGTAAAGGTTAATTTGTCAAACAGATTGATTTCAAGACTATTTGCAATTTGTCTCTAGGGACAATATTGAACTTTAAGAGCATCTCCCATTTGTTTCAGAGGACAAAACAGGAAAATTCCTTAGTGGATTGTTCTCATGTGGAGTTTGGAAAGTGATGATTTGAAGTAGTAATTTCCTACTTTGTTATTTCAAAATATTCATGTAAGACATGATTTATGTATCAAATGTTTAGTAAAAGAAGTTATCTTCTTTTCCTTTGGTATGCATCTGGCCAGCTCCTATTGGCCACTTCTGGTTGCAAAATTCTTCCCTTGGTGGCCATCAAGGTATGCTGCTGGACTGTTGTGGCACCTAGCTTCCATAGGAAGTTGCCTAGATCATGGCAACCGCCTGCATTATGGCATTTTTGGAAGCACAAATTAGATTTTACTGAGGTCCATATTCTTGTGTGTGCTCCTGTCTTGACCTCTTTCAAAATGTGTGTTTGATATTCTTGAGAAAGAGCACTTTAGAGAACATTAGACCTCTCTAAAACATAAGATGAGCACTCAGCATGGAAAGTCATTTTTTCTGGAAAGGTTGTATTTCTAAAGTATATTTCCTGCTGCTACTCCAAAGGAAGGGGCATGCTTGTTACTCTTTTAATTTGTTCAGTCTATAGACTCAATAGTCACTCAACTGCTAGATTTCACATCTCAGGGTTTGTTGGTAATAGTTGCCAAAGTAGCAACCAGTCTGATTACACAGTCACATCCACCAGCAATTTCCAGGAGCTGCCAGATAGGGAATTAGATTGGGACTTAAGGCCAGTGTGCCATTCCTTCTCAGAGATTCTACTTGGTTATGAAGATCAATAGCAAGATCACCACAAAAATCAATCCCCACCAGTGTCCCTCTTTTACATAGCAGGAGTGTTGGTGGACATTAATCTTATAACAATCTGTTAAAAAAAAAAAAGGACACTTTGATGCAGGGTGAAGCAGGAGGAAACATAGCCAATGCTCTTCATGTGCTCTCTCCCAATTCATCCCATGCTCCTATTGACCTATCAGTCTGGGAAAAAAAATTAGTTATGTATCTGCTGTTGTCCCATAATAATGGCAGACATGTCTTCAGAACTACCCAAGTGTCTGCCTATGAACACAGAGCATCAGCACACTGGTGGCCTTCACCTGGGCAACTATCAGAGGCCATTCAAAGAAGAAAAGTCAAAAACCTCAGTGGGTTGATGAATGCCTATTGGATGCATGATCTGTTACTATCCAGATCCCTGATCAGAAAATCTAATACCACTGGTATATTCAGTTCCATATTACTTGGCTGCATGTATGGGCTTTCGGTTTGTGAGAATGAAATCCAGATCTTTTGCTATTGCATAGAAGATACGTGTTTTTCTATCCATAATGCTATCTGTTCAATGTTTTATGCAGTTGTTGATCACTACTCGAGTGATATTGTCTTCAACAGTGTTCGTGTAATTGCCATTGTCATAATTGGCTTGGGCTTCCTCCTGCTGCTTCTACCAGAGGAGTGGGATGAGTGGTTAATAAAACTCCTTACCCGCCTCAAAGTACGAAAGAAGGAAGAGATTCCAGAGGGAAATGGAGACATTGTTTCAGGATTGCAAAATAAAAGTAGAAGAACGCGCCCCTCCATGTCATCTTTCACACATTAATATTATTTTATGAACATTCTTTAACATTGTATACTATAATTCATAGCTTTTTTTCTTGCAAAGCACATATGTTCAATACAGTAAATATACACAGATGTACAGTTTTGATAATAATAGAGTCCAGGGCATCAAGTTTCAGCATCTCTAAATTGCTTGCACTGTTTCACATCCAACCTTTCACTTGGGAGAACTTCTCTAAAAAATCAAAAATGAAACTCTTTTTAAATGAATGTAATGTATAAACTAATAATTTTGCATATATGATTTTATTGATAAACCATGAGATGGAGGGCATATATTTTGAACATTATGTACTGAATAATACATTGCACACTGTGATTTATGCGTGTGTGCATGCACACACACAAACATATATATATATATATATAAATATACAAACACATATATAATGAGAAACAAATATGATGCTTATGTCATAAGCTTATTTTTTACGACAGCTGCACATGAAACATTTGCAAATTAAC